ACAAGTTTTTGTATTGAAACTCACAAACCACACTTTATCTTACAACAATTGCTAATAATGATGACCTGTTACTAAAAAGCGGATTTATGAGGTTCACTATAAAAAACTTTTTTTGATGAAAAAAGTAATATAATATAAAGTTTAATGCTAAAATGCTTGAGAAGAATAAACAAAAATCCCAACTTACAGTTTTTTAAATAAAATATTTGTTTATTTGCTATTTTTTTCCAAACTGTTTTCAGTATGTAATAGTATAAAATCTCAAGTATAAATTACTAATTTGTTTTACAGATTCTTGACTGGAAATAAAATGAAAGACATTTCTCTAATTCGATTGCGCAACTGGTTCTCAGCTTCAAAAAGAGGCCAATAAGGACAAAAATATAAACAAACTAAATTCGTACTAAATAAAAATGTCTTATTCCATTAGACAGTCGTATATTGAAAGTAAAAACATAGTTTTTATTATTTTCAATAATTTGTTCAAGTTTTAAGTGTAAATTACTTTAAATTAAATTACTTTTTTACACAATTGCTAAAACTATTGTCAGAGGAATCACTAAAATAATTGCTATAATATTAATATATCTTTTTTTTATTAATAATTATTTTGCTTTTTTAATAGATAGTTGACTGATCATGATAATAAGTGAAAATGGCAAGAATAATATATAAAATAAATATCAGTATTTTTAGTTTTTATACACCCACAAGCCATATAATAAGTCAAGTATCCTGTCAAAAATTAGCTAGATACACATAGTTTAAATTTTATAATAACTAAAGGTAAGGTATAAATGGTTTAAATACTGTTTTGATATATAATTGTTAATGTTATTAATTATTTTAATCTTTGCATCATCAACCGTTGGTGGTGATAGCTATATTATTTAGATTGCTGGTTCCTATGTATATTTTAAATATACGAAAATCAAACAATATATGACGTATAAATACAATGAATATATACCACATACTACGCGAAAATGTTACGTCATGTACTTAAATTCATCTAAAAATAAACGTCTAAAATACGTCTAAAACGCGTTTTTATAAAGACGTCTTTATTTGGACGTCTTTTAGCCTTATGATCTAGACGTCTACAAGTGCGCTTTTTAGACCTCCTTAAAGACATCTTTAAAACGTCTTTTAAACGTCTTTGTGCTTACTATATATAGTAACAAGTAGAACTGTAACAGAATAAATACATATTTAAGAGACCTCGACAGTGGGTTAGATGCAGAGCAAATCATCTGCATGTATATCAAAGAAGTTTGGCATTCACAAGCAAATCTTGTCTGGATGCAGTGATGGATCCAGGAATTTAAAAAGGGGGGGGGGGGTGGAAGGGTGATGTTGAGATATTTTAGTATTTTGTACCGCGTTTGCGTCTCCAAAAAAAAGGTAATCTATTTCTAAGATATTGTAGGACTTTTAGATTCTGGTACCTCCTCCCCTTAGATCCGTCACTACCTGGATGGTCAAAAGAAAAAAACATAATATATTATAATATAATCTTGATATTCATAATATAATCTCGATAAGTCGGACGACATAACGACATATACCCTTTCAGAGTCCGAGTTACTAAAATTCTACTGTATTAAGTTTTTCTTAATTACTATAACATAATAAATTAATATAATAAAATAAATATTAGAGTAGCAGAATACTAATATTAATTTTTATTCGATGAAAGCTTTATGTAATATTTAACAGCAATGTATATTTTAAAACATAATAGGTAAATGAAACGACCGATTTTTAAATACAACAAAGTTTCCAGACATCAAGATTATGGTTCTAAAATATGATTTAAACTACTTCCTAATCATTTAAATACATTGTTATTTGTTTTTTTCAACTTATTTGTTCATTAAGTAAGTACACCTAAGAACTTAACACAGGATGTCCGTTGTAATTTAGATTTTTCTATGAATATATGCAAGAGATTTGAAGGCACGATGTCAAGCTTAGAAGAGTTTGAAAAATTTATTTGCTTTTATATATATATAGAAAACAACAGCTTTATATAAAAATGAAAAGTAGCAGTATTATGTCATTACTTGATAGAGTTTTAGTAGATTAAATAGTTACTGTGTGACAAGTTGAAAAAAGTGCCTTTATCCCATATATTTATAACATTGGCGCCATATATAAATAAGAGGTCGTCTGTAAAAACGGTCAAAAATTGCGTGACGTAATTTGTGGACGACCCCTAACTTTTTATTGTATTTTGAGTAGAAAATAGTTTTACAAAAAATGAAAAAAAAAATTCAAATTACATTTTTTAAACTCATTAAGTATTTAAAGTTTTACATCAAAAGAATTTTTATCAAAAGAATCAAACTTTTTACAATGAAATAGTTACGATCGAAAATAAGCTAACAAAAACGGCCGTAGGTAATAGGACTTCCTTGTCTTCTTGAAAATTATACGTTATATTTTTCAAACACATTTAATATTTTTCAAATTCATTTAATCTTTTTGAAATATTTTTATTTCTTGGAAAAAATATTATTTATAATAAGGTACTATATTTAATAAGGACAAACAACCCATTTAATGAGATTTTATTTTAGTGCATATATATGCACTAAAATGACTTTGATCGAAGTAAGTGAAAATAACATGGGCGTAGTTTGTTACTTTTTTAGTTTTTTTTTTGCAATTAAAAACATTTATTTACCTTTGAAGCTGATTTTAGTAGAGATCTAGCTAGGCCAACTTTAAAGGTAAGTAAAAAGTTTTCAATTGATTCTAGTTCTGCAAAAAAACCCTAGTTCAATTAGTATTCGTACCACAGCATACGAATATAACCTGTTATTATTTATACATTATAAATATTATCTCTTAATATTTATTTAACTTGAATTTAGTATACTTTTTGTGAAATTTTTCATGCAGCGTGTTGCTAATTTTTAATGCAACGTCTCCCCCCAACGTCTCTTTTCTTGTTATTATATCTGCTCGGAATTCCATATCAGGAATCGTTTTATAACTTTTTCTGTAGATGAAATTAATGCAATTTCTAATGATTTTGTTTTTTATACTACCATGGCTGCCTCTAAAAGCTATACGTATATTGTATGTTGCTGATATAGTTAATCTATTGTTTCGATCAGGACACCTAATATACTATGTATATTAGGTAACTTGGCAACTTCCAATACTATGTATATTAGGTAACTTGGTAACTTCCAAGTAACTTAAATATATTTTATAAATGATTGAATAAATTTGAAAAAAATTGTTTAAAAACAATTGAGTATATTCGGAAAATTTAGAATATAATTGAAAAGATTGAATATATTGGAAAAGAGTCATGGTATACTTTTCAGTTTGAATATTGCTAATATGCTAGCATAGTTTATAGCTCGCTTTAAAAATAAATTTAAAATATCCGATCAACATTACGTCAATAGTACGCTTTAGAAATAAATTTGAAATAACCGGAAATAATGGGAATGCTTGAATGATTGAAAATAATAATTAGTTTCTCTGCGTGTAAGATAGATTTATTTAAAATACGATAGCAATTTTGTTTTTTTTAATAATTCTACGTCTTCAGTAAATATGAGTTTCCATATTTTTAAGGTTTTACTCTTTGTAGACATTTATATTCGCTCAAAAAAAGAAACCTAAAAAAACATGTCATAGTTTTGAATCTTATTTATTTTATTACATCTCAGTTTTAAATCTCGCTTATTTAACACCTTTTTTCAAACATTTTTTGTATTTAATTTTTCAAAATTTTAAATCGTTTAAATTTCTATTGTAAAGTTTTTTCAAAGCACTTGACACTTCAAACAATTTTTTGATAACTATTTTATATGATTCATAAACGTTAACCTAATAAAGGCAAAAATAACTCTTTTTTCAAAATGGAAGTAGGCGTGAATCTTCTTCCTAACATGAATCTTCTACCTTCTACTGGCAGGTGTAATTAAGTAATTTGGAAAGTTTCCATTTTTTAAAATAGTTTTAAAAGTTTCTAGATTTTATTTTAATAGTTTTGAAACTCTACTATATATATGACCTTTCTACGCCACTGTGTGTGTGTGTATATATATATATATATATATATATATATATATATATATATATATATATATATATATATATATATATAAATTAACTAATTTATAATTGCTCTGTTCTTTTAAGAACATTGAGCACTCTATTTTGTAGAATACATTTTTAAAATTGTTTAAATATATATAAATATATATATACAGTGGCATAGAAAGGTCAAGAAAGTTGGAGGAGGGGACTTAAACGGAAATTAAGGGAGGCTATGGCAGCCATATTCAGAATTTGAATGAAAAAAAACATTTTGAACGTTGGGATAGAGGGCAATTGTTCCCTGCCCCCCCCCCCTCCTTCACCTGTTTTTACACCAATAAATCTTTTTATATTTATATAGATATACACTTATCTAACTTTTTAATCTTCTCCAGTTAGTTTTTTCTTTTATCAATCGGATCATAAGGAATAATGTCTTAAAATGAATGAAAGAGAAACTTATAGTAGAAGAAAAAAACTTTATTAAATGGGTATTTACTAATTTGCTCTGTTTTTTAAGAGCATTAATCATTCTATTTGAAGTATACGCTAACGCAAATTACGTGTATATAAATGTATATATATATATATATACATATATGTATATGTATATATATATATATATATATATATATATATATATATATATATATATATATATATATATATATATATATATATATATATATATATGCATATATATAACTTTAACTAAAGAACAAATCGAGAAAATACTCAATTAACTTTTAATTATGATTTAATTTTACTGTTAAATTAGTCATAAGAATATTGACATGATGGTTACATTATTTACAAATAACAAAACAAAAGTTCTTAAATTAGTTTAATTAACTTCATTCATTAAATTCTATTAACTTTTTACAAATGATAGTTTTCATAAAAATAATATTAAAAAGAAAAATTTTAATTATTACCTTGAAAATCCAACAAGTAATACATTAACACAGCTACATCAATAAAGTCAATAAGTATTAAACAGGTATTAGTTTTATAAGCCTTAACTACAATAACTGACTATAATTTTACTCGTGATATCAAATAAAAAAAAATATTTTTAAATTAGATTTATTATTAGCTCAATGTTTTGTTTAATTATTAAAAAATTATTTGAATTTTTAATAAATCCATTAATGTAAAGATATTATCTACAGCAACAACATATAAAAAAAAAAAAAAATTTTTAAAGAAAAGATAATTAGCTCACTATGAAGTCGACTGTTTTGTTTTTTCAATAAAGCTTACTGTATTGTTTAGGATATATACCTCAATAACAGTAACCCTGATAACTGTTACAATAATTGTCAATTATTTATTTTTATCAACAAGCTATTCCTGTCAGAAGTTAAGACGTTGTAATTACTAGATATAACCGTCAAAACAGTTGATATAAATTTATCATAGCGGTTGTTATTTGGTTGGCAAAAATTTACATGTTGATCTTGGTTAATGATTTTATAGTTTTATTCCTGTAATGACTCCGTTTTTAAATCTATTTAACTGATATTTAGAGAAAGTGTTGTAATTTTTTGAAAACACTGTCAAGTTAATCCAGGTAAGTTTCGTTAAGTTACATTATGAATAAAAAACGCGATAATTTTTGACTAGAACAAGCATTAACAAAACATAATATATATATATATATATATATATATATATATATATATATATATATATATATATATATATATATATATATATATATATATATATATATATATATATATATATATATATATATATATATATATAATGTTTTGTTGTTTTTTTTTTCCGTCTTCTTTTTCAGAAGACGGAAAAAAAAAACTTAATCAGATTTCAATTGCAAAAAAGTAAAATAATTGTTTGTATTAATAAGTTGTAAAGTAAATTTACTGATGCACAAAGCAATTAATTTTGATTTAGTTATAATCAAAGAATGATAGCATCAAATAATTATATATTTATATGCATATATCTATATATATATATATATATATATATATATATATATATATATATATATATATATATATATATATATATATATATATATATATATATATATATATATATATATATATATATATATATATATATATATATATATATATATATATATATATATATATATATATAGTTTGTTTTTGTATTGACGACAATGAAGTAGAAACTAGGTCGTATCCAAAAAAAAAAATTTTTATAGTTAAAGATAAAAGGCTCCTTAAAGAGTTTCAAAATCACAACGCAAAAAACTCCCAAAAAAACAAAAAAAGTCAAGACATAACTGGAGAATAAACGTCTGATTAGGAATAGGTGACAAGTGGCATTCCTCAAGAATCACTTCTTACATCACTGCTATTTGTGATTTTAATCAATGGCTTACTAAACTTTACTTATAACCATACAAAATTGTACACAAAAGATGGCAATGTCACATTAGTTATAAATATCAATCAATTTTTTCTGATTATGGAAAACTTTAAACAAACATTGACAGCGCTGTAAATAGCTTACACAACTGTCTTGTGAATTTTAACCTCAAGGAGTGCATTAAGCAAGACCTTGTAGTACTAATATCAAACAATCACAAAAACAAAAATACAAGCAGTAGCATTAGCTTTAGTTAGCAATTCAATGGTTTGCGGTCTCAAGAAGTCATTTCGGTGTTGTAGCTTTTTAGCTATGGAAAAAAACTGCATTAATTATACATTAAGTACTGCATCTAGAGATTTGTATGCATGTCTGATCATCTCAAAAATTGCTATACTCAATTGTGTCAAACAATAAGAAATATCATTAAATAAACATTTTGTCCACAATCAAAAACTAAAAATACTTGGCTTAAATACACTCAAAGAACGCTGTGACCTCATACTGCCATACAAAATATATGCTTTCCATTTACAATAGGTTGAATTTTATATTCTACAACTACAGCTTTTCTCATCAAACTCAACATATAGTTTAAGTAAAAATGACCTGTTTAAAATCTTATCTAATCAAAAGTTGTCCTAAACTTCAGCATTATTTTACAAACCGTGTTCCAAACCGTTGAAATAAACTAGCGCACGATGTAATTTATGGGCTAAAATATAAACTCTTTTAAAAATTATCTTTATGATGTTAATTCGGCTGCAACAATGTCAATCATCATCATTTAAAAGCCTGGTGTTGCTTTCCGTGATCAATATCAAACTTTTTATGAATAAGTTTTGCTGTTTGTTGTAACAAATAAATAAAAATCTAAAATGTTTTTGTTTTCAGCTGCAATCCCGCTAGATAGAAAACCATTCTTTACAAGCGTTTGGACACCAGACATCCAACTTAAATAGTCTCTATAAAGCTATTAACAAAACGCCCACGTGTGACTATGGAAAATTACTGCTGCTCTAAAGCTATTACTTGAGTTTCAGTTGAAATATCAACCCGTGATGTCTCTAAGTGATTTTCTACCCATGATGTCTTTAGGTAATTCTTCTTGGCTATAAAACAAAAATTTAGGCAAAGCAAATGATAATAGTGAAATTGCAATGAACCTTGAAGTGCAGTTTTTTTCCATAAGTTTCTCAAAAATATGCTTAAAGTATATATGATTGTTATTTCGGTTTACAAACTCAATTTAAAAATAGGATTGTGAAAACTGTTTCTTTAAGATTCTCATTCATCTGGTTGAAAGATCAAGTACCGGTAAAAAATTAAAGCTTATGAAATTGAAGACAACTTTAAGGAATAAAAATTGCATCATATAAGTTTGAATCTTCATTTTTCCCTTCTGAAAACACTTTAGGTTTTCTAAACTAAATATACTCTAAGAGTTTATAGCCTATTTCCTAATTTATATGTATACTAATTTGAATTTTGAAACGCAATGTCAACCCCATGTCGCAAAAGGTTAACAACCTTTAAGCAAACTAAAATTAATTTAAAAAAAGAATATAGGGTTACTAAAGAACAAGAGTGTCTATCGGACATACATAATGAAAATTAATTAGATACAACTCTATCGTGAGATGACATAATAATAATTATAATAATAAATTTTGTTAGTAAAAAATATAGAAAAAGTTAATTTCTATTTTTTTTTCAAATAGTAGATTTGATAATCGTAATCAGTGAATGTTAAATGTGTTGCATAAGTGTTATTTAACACAGATGCGGCTCATGAAAATGTAGATGTAAAGTAAAGGTATTAGGAATAAAAACAGAGTCATTAACTTTTATAATTAAACATGCTTTTGATAAAAAAATATTATAGGGGCTTATAGGGGCGCCTAATTGCTGCTAAGCCCCGGGCGTCATGAAAGCTCTCGGCGGCCATGTATGTACATATATATATATATATATATATATATATATATATATATATATATATATATATATATATATATATATATATATATATATATATATATATATATATATATATATATATATATATATATATATATATATATATATATAGTGAAAGGGTGCATCAGGGTTATCAATATGAAGTTTACGAGTGTTGCGGTCTTTGCGTAGTTGATAATTAAGTTCTTTTTAGCAGTTGTTAAATAAAGACTGACTCTGTAGTTCTTGAAAGTTTCATATCAAGTGAGTTTGCGAGAATTCATAATAGCTAATTTTTTTATCACCAACATTCTTGAATTCTATCACTTTGGGCCAACAATTTTATATTTTTTAGTCTTAAACCGCTTAGAGAAACTAACATGATTGGTAAAGCCTATAACTGTTAGGACCCATGTGATGCAGGGAAACACTACTGGTTGTGTTTGGGTAAAACCTTCTACAGAGACTGCCAAATATTAATATATTTTTCTCACGCTTAACTGTTTGCTTTAGTTCAATAAGGACTTGACCGATTTGCAACAATAAGTTGGTCTTGTTTCTAACTACACTACTCCAGGACGGATAGTGTAAACTTTCTTGGGTGACTAGCGGAGAGTTGAGGTTAGTTTGTATAATTGCTAATTTTTGTTTAAGTTTTATTATTTGGTTGGATTGCAAGTTGATAATAGCTTTCTGTTCAGAAATAACATTTAAGAGCACCATTATCCAGATATCCAGGTCGATAATTGAAGGGACTATTTTTTTAACCATTGGGATCAATTTTGTTAACCATAAAAATTTTCACAAAAGAATGCAAACTTTAGTTATGTGCATTGTAAGCGTTGCTGTAATGATGGAGGGCTACCAACCTGAATAACAGTAATTACCTCACAATTGAGAGTTATTCATTATTTATTATTTGCCTTATTAACACAAATACTATGAAAAGCTTAGATATGTTTTTTTCCGTTTTATTTTAGTCAAAAATCTGAAAAGTTGCAAAAATAGAACATTTAAATATTTTATATGTTTTGTAATTTGTTTAAATGATCATCATTATGATCTTCATGGAAGATAATATTTTTCATCATTATCCTTACTGAAAATAATGATCATCATTATTTTCATATAACGCAATGACCATCATCATGATCTTTATGAAATACAATGATTACGATAATTATTGTTTTAATAGAAGACAACAACCGTTATTATGATTTTCGCGTAAGGCATTAATCTTCATCACAATCTTCATTAAAAATAATGATCATTATTATCTTCATATGAAACGATGATTATTATGATCTTATTATTATGATCTATGGAAATAATGATGATCTTTATAATGACAATAATCATTTTTAGGCGAGGCAATTTTTAAATCTTCACTTAGTGTAATATGCACTTTCAAAAATGTGGGAACAAAGTTTTACTACACAGTTTCCACACCTAATATTTTTTATAGGTTGGCTTTAAATTGAGATTTCTCTAAAACCATAAATGCTTTATATTTAAATTTTTTATACTAAATGTTTTTACATCAATTAGGTTGTCAACTGAGTTTTAAGGGGTTTGATGGTTGTTTCATCAAAAAAAAAAAAATGGGTTGATGCCATCATTTCGCAGATGTCTTATTGGTGGCATTAATCCACTTTTTTTGGAAGTCCTTTTTATTTTTTTATTACTCCACCAACACTTAATTAAAAAATAAAAGAAATAAATACCATTTGTGGTTTTAGAGTATCTCAATTTATAGAGAAATCTCAATTTTTCCGTGTCCACCAG